GGTCTCACTATGCAGATTGGACTCAGTGATCCTCCTGTTTTCAGTCTCCCAAGTGGTGGGATCACAGGTGTGTGTTACCATGACCAGTCTCAATTGCTATCTCAGCACACCCTGGGGGCAGAACTGGCACAGCACGTGGTTCCAGGGATCAAATCCCGGTCCTTGCGCTTTGCCTAAGCAGATGCTTTAGTCCACTAAGCTTTCTAGCCGGCCCTACATTTATAACATTTTAAACTAAACTCATGAATAAGTTATACAGTCAATTTTAATGACAGTAACAATCATTTTATAGGAAAAAAATGAAAAATCAGCGTATCTTTTATCTCACAAAAATGTAGAGCACAGCACATACCAAATAGAACTTAAGGGGTTGGGGAGATAGTTCAGTGGAATAAGTGCTTGCCTGGCAAGCACAAGGTCCTGAGTCCTATCTCTGCTACCACCAAAAAAAAAAAAAAAATAGAACTTAAAAGGTCAACCACAAATTGTCAGAGATGATACACCGTATCCCAGTCCTAGATCTTTTCCTCTTACCATGAATCTAGCATACACTCGTTTACAATCCCAAAATAGTATATGAAGACATTTCAATCACAAGTCTTAGAATTTGCTATAATTCATAATTCATTCATTCAATTCATTTTAAAAGGTTTTATAACTTCAGATGAAATATGCACAGGCTAACCTGATTTGCAGATTGAATTATGTATGTTTTAACAATATAGTCATAAATTTTTTGACATCCATTCTTTTAAAACATGGAACCTAATTTCCCTCACTTAAGATACAATAAGGATTTCTGGTGACTAACTTCTAATGAACAGAATAAAGAATAAATGAATGTACAACTTCACAGATTAAGTTACTAAAACATACTGCAATCTGTATCTCAGTTAAGCTTTCTTCTTATATTGCCTGCTTGTGGGAAGCCATCCTCCATATCAAGCAGCCCAATGGAAAGGACCCAAAAGCAAAATATTAAGCTCTGTGGGCTATAGGAAGCAATTAGGGCCTTCAAACAAGAGCCACTTCAAGTGAAATATAAAGTGAACTTGTCTGTTCTAGTCAAACATTCAAATGACTATCAACCAGAAAGACACCTTAACAGCTACCTCCTAAGAATCTTGAAACAAGAAATGTTGGGTAAACCTCTTCCGGGTTTCTGTCCCACAGTAACTATGGAATGTTTAGAAACCAGTAACAAAATTAAAATTGAGTTTTGGGATACTTTGTCACAGTAATGGGTAACTACTACAGTGAATAAATCCTATTATCTTTGGAATTCATACATACCTTTCTTCCAAAACTGAAATTTTTGACTCTCCAGAATCTAAATTAGATTCTACTGGTATCTTGTATGTACCTTCATTGGCTTGAGACTTTAGGTGAACATTCTGTGTGGACATAATACCACCTTGATCTTTTGAATGTCCTGTTTTTCTATCAATATAAAAAGTTTAAAACTTTTTATACTTCTTCAAACAAAATTCTTCAAGGAACAATATACAGGTAGGTATATAAACAATATAATATTGGCTTAGAACAAGTATCAGCTAACTATGTTCACGACCTAAAACTTAACACCTGACTCAGAAAGAAAGATGGATTTTAGGAGCTACTAAGATTATTAATTTGAAAAATTCTGATGAGGGAGATGGTGCAAACCTCATCTAACTAAGAAGGGAGTAATGAAGCAAGGGGAATGAGAGATACAACCTATAGGCAGTTTATGGTGCATAGTAATCAGTTAATCTATCATTATTCATTGGTAAAACTATTTTCTTTAACATTCCTAGTCAGTCTATTTGTGGGGACAGTAGGGCCTTTAGCAGGATCCAGTTCATTTCTCTCATAATGTCCAGTTGATTAGTCTGCCCCAAATATATACAAACAAGATATATTGTTCCCTCAAAAAGTTTTAATTTTGGAGGCTGTAGTATACTTCTGAGTCTTACATAATCAGAGCCAAGAGAACTAAAAGTGACAAGAGAATGTTATGAAAAACTGTATACCAGCAAAGGTAAATCAGATGAAAAAAAAAAAAAAGTGATTTTAAGAAATAGCCTGAAAATATCTATGACCTGGCATTAAAAATCTCACCACAAAAGAAAAGCTCCCAAAATGGCTCCACCATTAAATTCTATCAAGCACTCAAAGGCTATATATTCTTAAATTCTTCCAAAATAAGAAAAAGTATTTCACAACTCATTTTACAAAGCCAGTATTACTTTTATACCAAACTAAAGATATTGCAAGTAAAATATGTAACAGACCAAAGAGCCTCAACAAAATACTAGGAAACCAACTCTAACATTACTTTTACAGATATAAAAATCAGAAAAACCTAAAATGTTAGGAGTACATGGAATTTTCTAGGCACCATAATGACATATAAATATATTTTAGAACGTTCTAATCATTTATTCCAGCACATGCTTAGCACTTTGCTGTTTCTAGCATACAGTGCTCTCAAATATTATTTCAATGTCTTAGCACATTAGGAAAAAGAACACGTAAAAAAATTAACTCAATAGGTTATTAGAATCGATGAGAATCCTTTAAAAATAATTACTACTTAGTTAAAAAAAATGTAAAGACATGTTAACTATTAAAAGGAAAATTACAGATAGGCCCCTAGTTACTAATTAGGAATTAATCTCATTAATGACAGTAACATCATTTTAAAAAGGAAGTTGAACTTTATACTAAATATTATTATGACAATTTTTTTTCTAAATGTATTTAGTACAGGGTCTACAGAGTCTTACTATACAGATCAGACTCGTAGTGATCCTCCTGTTTTCAGCCTCCCAAGCACTGGAATTATAGGTGCATGCCACCAGGTCCAGTCTCAATCCCCACCACAGTGCATCCCGAGGGCTGGGCCAGCACAGCACACTAGGGATTGAACCCTGGTCCCTGAGCCTGCCAAAAAAGGCACTTTAGTCTGCTGAGCAATCTGGCCGGCCCTTAGACAACTGTATGCTTCATCTTTCACCAAATTTTTTTTTTTTAAAAAAAGGAAGCAATTCAAGAAAAACAATGCTTACTTTTTTTAATACTCACACCCTTACAAGTTTATATATTATCCCCCATTTTAATATGAGGTAACAATAGCTCGGCAGATTAAAGTGCATGCTTAGGCAGACGGTGGCTGGGGGTTCAATCCCTGCCTGCTGAGCCGGCCCCACCCCCAGGGTGTGCTAAGAGAGCCATTGAGAATGGGCATGGTGGCGCGCCTGTAATCTCAGCACTTGGGAGGGAGAATCAGGAGAATCACTACAAGTCCAATCTGTGCAGTGAGACCCTGTACTAAACAATTAAAAAAAGAGGTAACAAATTCACAGTAGTGCTTTACCTGGGTGCCACCCACCTAATCCAGAGCTTGGATTTAATAACATTTATTAAAGTGCAGAGTCTTTCATGGTATTATTCTCTGTGAATGATTAACAGATCAGCTCTTCAGGCTAAACAAAAACAATGAACACATAACAAATATTACCTGGAACAATCAAGACTGTTTTTCTTAGTTAGGTCTGTTTTGTCACTTTCCAATGACTCATTCTGGGGACGACTGGAAATTTCATCACGGTCAGTAATACCCCCAGAACTTTTAACATTTAAAGACTTTTGCACTATTGAGTTTCCTTGAGTAGATATCTTCTGTCTTTTTGGCGGAACAGTTTTTTTCACAATATTCTTAGATGACTGATTTGCTGTTTTAGCAGGTTTCTGTCTACTGTTGTGGCACACTGACATATCATTTACTAATGAAATGCTATGAACAGCACCTGGAGGATTCAATCATAATTTAAAGTTAGTATAATATTTTTCCAAATAATCTGGCTTAGTGAATAACATCATTTATATTTACAGTGGTACTTTGGTTCACAAACTTTGTCCAATGATTTTAGAAAACATGTGCCCATTCATGTTTGTGTGGGAAATATGTCCACAGTCAAGTCTGCCACCTGATGCAGTTTACAAATGAAAACAAAATTTTGCCTGACACTGTTGAACCAAATTGTTTGCAAACAAAATCATTCACGAACCAAGGCACTACCTATTATAAAGACATACCATAGATCAATCTTATAGGCTAAATATTTTCACTTTAAATTTGTTTAAAATTCTTTAAATTCAATTTAGAGACATGCACCAGATCCTTTGAATTCATCATAATCTTCTCAATCTTCTGAGTCTACCCGCTATTCTTCTAATCATCCTCAAGATACTGACAATCCACAGGTTCTGGGTTCTACATTTTACCATATGTACTGTCTCTAGAGGATCCATCTCCCAATAGCTCTGATTCATATCTATATGCCAATACCAACTGATATCCACCATTACTCTTCCCTAAATCTGTTTCTCTGACTTTATTTCCTATCTTAGTGAAAAGTAAAACTATCCAGGTGCCTAAATCAAAAATGTAAGTCATGGCCCCTAAGATGGCTCAGTAGAATAAGCACTTCCCTGGCAAGCGCAAAGGCCTGAGTTCAATCCCCGGTTCTGGAACAAAACAAAACAAAAACAAA